AGATGTAAAATTAGTGTAAAAATACTGAAAATGTCTCATATTTTGAATTGGATGTTTATTTTACACAGTTTAACCTAAATATGTCCAGTAATTATGTTGATTATACACATTTTTAGCAAAATAATTTCATTTATATGACGTAATTTCTGAAACTTCAAGATAGAAGTATATACAATAGCTATTGAAACCCAAAAAATCACTTTAAGATACAAGTTAGAAGGTTCAAGATATGAGGGAATTTAGCATTAGACATCTATGGGATGAATCGGGACTTTGAGTTTGGCTTCAAGATAGGTAGAAATTCAAGATGGAAGGCTTCAAGATACAAGGGTTAACTGTAATAGGTTATTTTAAATTTTAAATAGAATATAAACACAATAGATATACATTATATATAATTCCCTAAACTTTATTGAGAAATTCCCGAAGGATCGAGACTTTAATTATAGTGATAGCAAATAGCGATGTTCATCAAAAGTTGTTAGTTTGTAGTGAGAATCTAGTTATTTAATTGGATATATTTGATATGTGTTTAGATTTTGCTACAAGACTGCAGTGTCTTTGAGACGTTGGCCATCGCTGGAGAGTTAGGAATCGATGAATTGGTTGAATCGTGTGAACAACATATCAAGAATACTATTTCAGTCCACAACTCATGTACTTTACTCTCTGCTGCCATTAAACTCGAACCAAGGATTTTAGGTTTGATACCAAATATTTTAAAATTTATTAAAATAATGTCATTATCTGTAAAGAAAGGAAAAGTTGTTTTGTGGATATTTGCACCTCTTTTGTCGGCGAGAATGCCATTGAATGCATCAAAACGTAAATTACACGCAAATCCTTGAAATTGTGATTTGAATTATAATATATTTATAATCCCATTAAAGACCGGCATTTCTTAATCTATCGAAAGAGGCTCTGATTCATCTGATTTCATCAGATTATGTAAATACTATAACAATTATTTGAAGTGTGAAATAATTATATCATTAAATATTGTATAATTGAAATACTAGTTAGCCTTAGAAGAGGCGGACGTATTCAGGGCGGCGCTCAATTGGGCTAAACATAACACAGGTTTGTATTGAACTAAAGGCATATACAGTATAACTTATAACTTATTTGATAATGAATTGATTGGATTGTCTGGTGTCTGTCTGGTGTCTGTTTTCAGGTGTTTCACAGCCAACTCAGCACTGGACAGAGGAGGAAAGGGCTCGTATAAGTCAGGTTAGTTTGTTTCACTCATTGATTCTTGATTAACATAATTATTTTTAATAATTAACTGAATAGCAATTGTCTGGAGTTATAAATCACATCAGAATTCTGCTCATCGATAGTCAAGTATTTGCTGAAGAAGTAGAGCCGACGGGTGCCGTTCCTATAG